AATGTCAGAGTCATTTTGATATGTTTTTCCCCTAGTGGCTAAGAATGATTAACATTTTTTCAAACATTTCGCTGCCATTGAGATTTGTTTATTGAGAATTCTCTGTTTAGGTGTGTCCCCATTTTTAAATTGAATTATTTGTCTTCTTTTGATGTCTAGTTTTTTTGAGTTCTTTATATATTTTGGAGATCATCTCTAGTCACTGGCTCGGCTGCTACTGCCAAATGTAGTTTTTAAACTAAGTCTCTATTGTTCTATTTACTAATGCAGACTCACAAGTCAAATGTTGTGTTGAAAACCTGCCAGCTCAGAGAGACCAAAAAGCAACCAGCTGACTTTCCTTTTTGGCCAGAGCTGCTGCAAGAGAGCCCCACCAAGAGAGCATCTTTCTAGCCCTCCCAAACCAAAAAGACCTAGACACTCCCAAGTCCCTCTCCATTCCTTCTTGTGTGTTTCTCTATCCTTCCTGGCTTCTCCATACTCAACATGGCTTATTACTGTCAACTCACTGCAGGCTTCATCCCCTGATCTAAGGTTGATTTTTATTAACTCGGTGCTATCAGATATCCTGCAACAATCAGTCCTCTGTTGGATGTGGGGTTGACGAAGATCTTTTCCCATTCTGTAGGCTGCTGTTTTGTTTTATTTGATGGTGGCCTTTGCTTTACAGAAGCTTCTCAGTTTTAGGAGGTCCCATTTATTAATTGTTGATCTCTATATGTACTACTGGTGTTCTGTTTAGGAAGTGGTCTCCTGTTCAAGACTATTCTCTACTTTCTCTTGTATTAGGTTCCATGTAACTGGATTTATGTTGACCTCTTTGATCTTCTTTTTGACTTGAGTTTTGTGCATAGTGGTAGATATGAATATATTTGCATTCTTCTACATGCTGATATCTAGTTATGCCAGCACCATTTGTTGAAGATGCTTTCTTTTCTCCAGTTTATAGTTTTGGCTTCTTTGTCAAAAATCAAGTGTCCATAGGTGTATGGATTTATGTTTGGGTCTTCAATTCAATTCTATTGATCAGTGTGTCTGTTTTTATTTCAATACCACCCTTGATTTCATTACTGTACCTCTGTAGTAGAGCTTGAGATCAGGGGTGGTGATAACCTCCAGAAGTTCTTTTCTTGTACAGTATTGTTCTAACTGCCCTGTGTTAAGTTGAGTTATTGTTCCAGAAGGTTCTTTTCTATACCTAAATCCTGAGGTATTTTCCTCTAGTGTGTCAAAGTTTCAGATCCTAAATTAAGGTATTTGATCCATTGGCATTAGTTTTGTAAAGGAGGAAGATGTGGGTCTACATTGTTTTACATGTTGATATCCTGTCTCCCTGGTACTATTAGTTAAAAAGTCTCCTTTTCAATATGTTTCTGGCTACCTTGTCAAAAGTTACATGGCTTTGGTTTATTTCTATATTAACTAGTTCATTTGTATGTATACAGTAATTGTTAGTGTGGTTGTGTAGTATAATCTGAGATCAAGTATTATATTATCTCCAGCATTACTTTTTAAGCCAAGGATTGCTGTGATAGTTGGGATCTTTTGTGCTTCTATAATGAAGTTTTAATTTTTGTTTTGAGACAGAGTCTCCTTAGCCTCCTTTCACTGGCTTGGCATTAACTCTGTAGACCAGGCTGGCTTCAAACTCAGAAAGATCAGCCTACTTCTGCCTCCTGAGAACTGGGATTAAAGATGTGCACCACCAGGGCTGGCCATGTGTGATATGATTAATGAGTTCTTGAATTTGGTTTGTAAATGTCTTTTTAGAGGAATTTTTGCTCCTGTGTTTTTTAGATAAACTGACATCTTCTTCTTTTTTTTGTGTGTGTTCTGATCTGGTATTGCTATCAAGATAATGTGAACTTTGTAGGATGAGTTTGGTATCTTTTCTTCCCTTTCTGTTTTATGGAACAGTTTCAGGAGTATTAGAACGTTCATAAATGATTGGTAAAATTTGGGAGAGAATCTATCCAGTTTTTTTTTCTGGAGAGGAGCTTTTTGTTTCAATCTTATTGTTTATTACTGATCTATTTAAATCATTTATATCTTAGTGATTTAATTTTGATGGATCTTATGTGCTTAGGAATTTTTCTAGTTCTTTCATATTTTCCAGTTTTCTAAAATAAAAGTTCTCAGAGTATTCCCTAATGGTCACTTGTATTTTATTGGCCTATGTTGTAAGATCCCCTTTTATTTCTATTTTACTGATGTGGGTTATTTCTGTCTTTGATTTGTTTGGCCAGGATGTTAGTTCTCATTTCAAAGAATCATTTTTTGTTTTGTTGCTTCTGTGGTCATTTACTCTCTGATTAATTTCTTCCTTGATCTTTATTATTTATTGTTTTTTTTGCTACCTATTGTTTTTGGGTTTGCCTTGTCCCCTCCCACCACTCCATGGCATTAAGGGTGTATCAAAATGGTATTTGTTTGAAAAATCTCACTGACTTTAAAAATGTAAAAATTTGTAGCTATAATCTTTTCTCTTAAAACTGCCTGAGGCTATCTTGTAGCTTTTGGTAAGTTGTATTTTCACTTTTCACTTTGAATTGTTTATTTTTCCTACTGTTTTCTTCATGACCCATTTTAGTCATCTAAGGATGTATTGTTCAGTTTCAAGTATTTATGATTTGTGTAATTTCTTTTGCTGTCAGTTACTTGTTTTATTCCACGATGATTGGTTCTTTTGTATGCGTGAAGGAAAACTTGCATTGTATTTCTAGTAGGCTCCATTGATCACTTGTAAGAACTGGGGGATAGGAATGAGGGGAAAATACTGCATGCAAGATAAACAAACAAAAGCTGCTGTCCCAGTACTTGGGAGGCAGAGGCAGGCGGATCTCGTGAGTTGCAGTCCAGCCTGGTCTACAAGAGCGAGTTCCAGGACAGGCTCTAAAACTACAGAGAAACCCAGTCTTGAAAAACCAAAAAAAAAAAAGAAAAACAAACAAACATAAACAAAAGAACAACAACAAAAAACTGCATCTGGATTTGTGAGGACAGGTTGGCTTGTCCCAAAATAAGCCTTCTAGTCTCTTTTGAGCAGAGTTGCCTACCTTACGTTTTGAGCATGGCCTCTGCTTTCCTTAACTTTACCAGGGACCCATGTGGCTGTAGCTGTATGTATTGGTCTTGGCTTCCTTTTCTTGACAGTTTTAGCTGTTCAGTCAGTGTTGCTGAGTTTCCAAAGCTCTTCTCCTTTTTTGGTTTAGAATAGTGTATTCTGTATATACTGTCTTATCTCTTTAAATGGGTCAGCCAGAAGCTGCTTTCAGTCTGGGATCTTATCACATTGCATTTGTTGGCATCTAAGGTTGAAGATTTGGTATGGAAAAGTAGGATGGGAGTCTTATCTCTCTTTCAGTCTCACTGGTTCTTTTAGTTGTGTGTAATATGATCACAGAAACATTAAAAAGAAAAATGTCAAGCCAAACAATTCTTTGAAAGATTTGTGAACATTCAACTATTTTGACTGCGTGATTTTAAGAGTGCTTAGTATACTCTGAATATAAACTTTATTCATTCCAGATTCATATTGCCTCTGTGAAAATCCCTTTGAAAGGGAAATGAGTTGACTTTTTCTTTCACCTAAACCTTTTCATATAATAGTAGCAACAAACTATAATAATATAACAAAATATGATGATGATGATGATGATGATGATCTCTGTGTAGCCCTGGCCATCTTGATTAACCTGACACTTTTTAGAAGGTATTCTTGAGAACAAAAATTACTGTCTTCTTTTGCATAGTAGATAGAAACTCCAAATACATGGTCAAGAAATTTTAATAAAGAAGTTGTGCGTAGCATTGAGATGATACCTTTAATACCAGAACTCAGAAGGCAGAGGAAGGCAGATCTCTGAGTTCAAGGCCAGCATGGTCTACATAGTGAGCTCCAGAATGCTGGGAAGAAGGGGAGTGAGACACCATAGCTCTCCTCTCCGAGATGGACGCAGGTTAGAATCCTCCCAGTAAGCCACTACCTTGTGGTGCAACACACATTATTAGAAATGGGCTAAGCAGGATATGAGAGTTAGCCAGTAAGAGGCTAGAGCTAATGGGCCAAGCAGTGTTTAAAAGCATACAATTTGTATGTTGTTATTTCAGGAACGCAGTCCGCTGTTCCTTCTACAGTTAAGAAATTCACTTTGCTTCATTCCTACAGCATTGTCAACTTCATCATATTTCTTGCTTTCATCTTGTTACATTTGCTATCATGTACTGAGTATCTGTTCATCTTTGCATATACTCCAGTTACTTTCAACACATGTTTTCAGTGATCATTCTTCATAATGTGTCAACTCGTCTTAAGGATAGAAGAGGCAGTCGCTTAATTGTGTATCACAAGCTTGTGGACACTTAGTAGATAGCTACGTAATATTTAAATGGAGAATGAGTACATGACTGTTTCAGATCTGGTATTTCTTTACTTTTTCCCACATATTCTCTTCCGGGATGGTTTTGTATTCCTCCAAAGGCATAATGATATTACTGCCTCCTCTGCCCTGTATATTTGTGGTGCTTAATATAACTGGTGGTTGGGGCTTATGATTTCTCTGAAGATCACATGTCTGTTGATGCTTAGGTTAGACAAAAGCCTTTCTAAGATGCTTAGAGAAACAAGAGTGCCTGTGTTCTACCACAGCTGTCATTTGAAAAAGATCTTTGGATATTGAAGCTTGCTGATTATTTAGAATTTCACTGTGTAGGAATCAGCTTGTTATGTAAAACCCTAAAGTTTAATAAAAAAATGTTTTAACCCTTCAGTGTGGCTACTTTAAACTACTAGAGTATTCAAAGAGACCCCAATCTGGTTGTTTCTGTTTTCATCTGTGAAATATGTAATCTTTAAAAATGTTCCTGAGAAGATTCTCCTCTTAAGGAGGGGACACCAACTTTGAAAATAAGCTATAAATATAGTTTGATCTTACTATATATTATAACTGATGATTTTACTAGAAATGACATGTAACTTATATGTTTCTCATCTGTTTCAGGATGCTTTAATCTGGATCCCAATAGAGTTTTGGATGTAATTTTAGAAGTATTTGAATGCAGGCCAGAGCACGATGACTTCTTTATATCTTTATTAGAATCTTACATGAGCATGTGTGAACCGCAAACACTGTGTCATATTCTTGGGTTCAAATTCAAGTTTTACCAGGTAAAAATGTCTATAGGTTAACTTTATAACTTTGTGTGTTTAGTTTTATATTTTATTTGCACTGTAGTATTTGCTAGTTGCAGCTCAAACATTTAGCTGAGGAGATAGAGAAATGGAAAGCTGACTATATGATGTACATATGATTATATTATATGATATATATTAACACTTTAAATGATCTGACGAGAAAGTCTGGAGAAAAGCAGAATTAAATTTTACGTTATGAGAGACAGGGTCTGGTAATACTTTATTGAAGGAGGAGTAATAGTGTGTTGTGTCGGCAGAGACTACGCATTTGTTTCCTGGCTGCCCCGACCCAAATAATCACACAGAAACTATATTAATTATAACACTGTTTGGCTGATAGCTTAGGAGTATTCCTAGCTAGCTCTTACATCTTAACCTGTTTTTATTAATTTGTGTATCACCATGAGACTGTGGCCTACCAGTAGGAGGACTCCCTGACTCTGCTTTCTTTCCTCCTCTATCTCTGCTTGGATTTCTTGCTTTGCTATATTCTGCCTTACCCTATGCCAAAGCAGCTTCTTTATTAACCAGAGATAATAAAACATATTCACAACATACAGAGGGGAATTCCACATCAGTGGTGAGACTTCTGTGCAGAAATAAACTGTGATGCTAAAGATTGGTGGTGTGGGCATATCTAACAGATTGAAAGAATGGTCTGTAATCTTATGTGCCTGAATTGTAACATGGGCAAAAAAGTGGTAGAAAATCTTCTCTGAATAGGTAGATATATATTAGATTGTCATAGGCCTCTGGCTACATGTTTTTTTAAAATTTGATATGTATATGAAGGGTATTAGAATTTTTAAGGATTTTATGAAGTACTTGAAGTGTATTTTGCATCTTTTTATTTAACTAGTATAATAACCGTAAAGAATCTCTATTCTTTGGTTATTTCTCTTTTTTGTCTGCCATATTATTGCTAATGCTATTTTCTAAAAGATTTAATGGATGTGCCTACTATTGAAAAATTGTTTCTGATGGTATTATACTATTATAAAATTAGCCACAACTTCTTCTCATTTTCTGACCAAAAGCTTGAGAGTCCACCCCTCCCCCCAAGATAGGGTCCTCTGTGTAACAGCTTTGGCTGTCTTGGAACTCTGTAGACCAGGTTGACCTCTAACTCACAGAGATTTGTCTGCCTCTGTGTCTTGAGTGCTATGATTAAAGGTATGCTACCTACCATTTCCTAGTCCTGAAATAAGTCCAAGTATTTTATTAATTTTTAAAGGGCATCTTAATTATTTTATATTTGATCAAGAAACCAACTGCTGAAATATAAAAGTAGAGAAAATTTAATTTGGTACATGATTAATTAAATGTAGCTTACATGTTTGGAGTGTGTACCTTTCAGATCATTTCACAGTGAAGATTGATGACCTTTTGAGAACCATCAAGTTAGTTAATTTTAGAGTTAAAGAATAGTTTTACATGAACATATTGTTAGTGATATAACCAGTGTGTAACTGAATTGCTTTACTATATTTGAACAATTTTTTTGTTTTAAAATAATATTTAATATGCATTTTGGACAGTTTTTAAGATTAAGAAATATCTGATGTTAGAAATGACACACTGTTGTCAGATATATTTTTCATACTGCACTGTGTGACAGACAGTATTACCTTCTTGCTATTGCTAGAGCTATCTTGGTTATTGTGAGAACTTCATCTTAGGACTGCTGAAGGGAAGAAAAGAATTGTCAGAGAATTTAAACAATTTGTGGTCTGTGAGGGAAAGTAAGGAAAGCTATGAAAACCAAAGTCTTACTTAAGGGATGGAATCATGGGTGTAAGCTCTTAGGAATGTGTAGTCACTAATTCCACACTCTTTCCTACCACTTCCTAAACTCCCTCTTTTCACAACCCACACTGATAAAAGCATTTAAAGGGGGACGGAAAGGGATGTGACAACTTTATAAGCAGAAATGCAGATGATGTTGTACAGTTTAAATCTCACATTCTGTTCAAGTCTCCGCTTTTACTCATATATTCTTATGTGAATGCTTAGTCTCAACATTTTTTATTTTATTTAAATAACATTTTTTTCATTCATATACTGACCAAAGTTTTACCTCCCCCCTCTCCTTCTGGATCCTTCTCCCACAACTCCCATATACCCTCTTTCCCATCCACTCCTCCCTCTCCATTCAGAAAGGGGCAGGACTCCCATGGGCTTGAACAAAGTATGGCACATCATGTTGAGGCAGGACTGTAACATGAGGGCCTGCTGGTTGGGGTTTCTGTCCTACCCAGTTCCCCCAGCTGTTTAGCCCCAAAAAATTTGCACGGAGATTCTGCATTAGTTATAACTGATTGGCCCGTTAACTCAGGCTTCTTATTAACTCTTGTAGCTCATATTAACCCATTATTCTTATCTATGTTAGTCACATGGCTCGGTACCTTTCTCAGCAGGGCAGGTCCCATCCTGCTTCTTCAGTGGTCTGGGCAAATTGGTGGAAGACGTTCCTTCTTCCCAGAATATTCCTGTTCTCATCGCCCTGCCTCTACTTCCTGTCTGGTTGACCCTCCTATACTTCCTGCCTGGTCAATCAGCATTTATTTAAAACATGATTGACAGAATACAGACAATTCTCCTGCACCACAGGACCAAGCACTTCCCTATGTATAAGGCTGGGCAAGATAATTCAGCATGGGGAATAAATTCCCCAAAACAAGCTAAGCACCAGGGACAGGTCCTGATCTCACTGTTAGGAGCCTCCCAAACAGACCAAGCTACACAGCTGTCACATACATGCAGGGGGCCTAGGTCGGTCCCATGCAGTCTGTTTGCTTGTACTCATCTAAGGATGTTTTGGGACGCTGGCAGAAATCTTTGCCCCCACTATTCAGATGTTTGGTTTTAAAAGGGAGAATAGTGAAGTGTATTGATGATAGGTAGAGAAGAGAACAGATTTTAATTTTACTTTATACCCTAAAGATTTTTTTTTTCCTTTCAGGAACCAAGTGGTGAGACACCGTCATCTTTGTACAGAGTTGCAGCAGTGCTTCTGCAATTTAATCTCATTGATTTAGATGATCTTTATGTACACGTAAGTTGAGTGGTCTGTATTGGCTCCTGTTTCTCAGGGGCGGGGAATATGAGTAAATAGTTAAAAGTACTTCACTGCTGGCTCTAGACTCCTGGGCTGTATTTCTTTGAAGCTTTGTCTACTTTAAAAAAATTAGTGGATTCTCTTCTTTGGCAAACTATGGAAATTGAATTCCTCTTAATCACCCTTATAGGTTTCAAGATTAGATAAAAGCTTTTTTGAATCATCACCTGTGCTTAGCTCATGGGGAAAAAGGTGAAGCACTAAGCAATGTAGTGCCAAGCTTCTTTATTTTACATGTGACTTGTAGGAAATAGGGAATTACCTAGATAGTTTTAGGTAAACATTGCTGTATTTTTATTTCTAGTATATTAAATTTTTTCAGTATGTTTACTGTGCAATAATTGACCGTTATTGGGATTTATTGTTGGGTCTCGTATCTAGAAGAGTTTATTATGGTTGTGACAAATGACTTCTAGTTCATCAAGAGTTGAGCTACCTGTTTGGGAAGCTAAAGTTTGCAGTACACCCTTATTAGTTTCTGCTTTGGGATATCTGTTGACTTAAAGTAATTCACAATTATAGTCTTGGCTGCCTTTGAAATCATGTTATAATTTCCTTCCTATTTGTATGCTGTGGCTAGAGAGTTGAATAAAAAGATTGTCTCTACCTTGCAAAGTCACATTGTGGCTTTGTATGAAAATGTAGTATGTGGTGTGAGCTCGTAGTAGATAGTGATCACATTCATCAATGGGTGGGCTGGGTGTTAGAAACTTTTCTAAACTAGTGAGGTTGAATTAGGATCATAGAAGAATAGATATTTTCCAGACTGAAATGGTAGAAATATATAGGTAAAATTAAGTGAGTTTAAAAGCCAGAAATTCCACAGCATTGGAGTTACCTGTGTAAGGAGACCCTAGGAACTTGAGAGCGTTTGAAGCCTAGGTGGTATGAGGGAGTAGTGAGGATGGAGAAGCAGGTTGGAACTAGACCATTGGAAGGCTTCTAGCTGCATAGAGTGGATAGTTTGACTTTTTTTCTTGGGATGAGAGAACCATTAAAAATTTAAAGAAAAGTGATACATGGACTGAAACTGGAATATTGGTTAGAAGATCAAGTATTGGAAAGCCTAAAAAACAGATCTGAAATGATAATAAACTTAAATACTCATGTTCCAGGTTAGTAATAAATACAAATAGACTATGCTGCTACTTTGAGATGATATGGGTTGACCGATTGGATTTATATGCCAGTATAGAGTCTATGTGAGACACAACTAAAGCCGTGGCATCAGGAAATATTATAAGTAAGCTATGTGTAGTGGCTCATATCTGTAATCAGTACTCAGGACAGTGAAAGGAGTTTGAGGTCTTCCTGGCTTATGTAGCAACTTCCAGGCTAATTAGAGCTATGCAGAAAAACCTCTCAAACAAACAAACAAACACAAACATGCAAATAACAAAAAGAAAACAGTGGATGTAAAATAGTGAGGATTTTATAGTTAGAAGAGACTTTCTAGTAGTAGAACCTAAAGAGAATCATTTAAGGCAGTGGTTCTCAACCTTCACAATGCTGTGACTCTCTAATACAGTTCCTCATGTTGTGTTGACCCCCCAACCATAAAGTTATTTTTGTTGCTACTTCATAACTGTAGTTTTGCTACTGTTACAAATCGTAATGTAAATATCTGTATTTTTTGATGGTCTTAGGTGACCCTGTGTAAGGGTCATTTGACCCCAAAGGGGTAGAGAACCACACATTGAGAACTGTTGATTTAAGGGATCATGTGTTGCTCCACGTAAGAGTGCTTTATGTGGCTTATTCAGGGTCTTAAATTTAAACCTCAACACTGCGAAACAAATAAAAACACGCCAGAGAGTGTTAATGATGTTCACTAAGAAGATAAAATCATTCTAACTTTATATACACCAAATCAACATTCTGAAAATACACAGAACTGGAAGTTGAGATAAATAAAAGCATTGCATACCATTTATCTATTAGTTACTGTCATCTAGGTAAAAGAGTTTACACTAGCCATTGAAATAAATCAATAACAATATGTTTGCCATTCAGAATGAAGAAAAGTTACTTACCTCTTTGGACATGTCTCTAGCAAATTGACTGTTTCTCCCTTTTCTTTGATTGATAAGGTGAAGCATACAGTATTTAATATTTCACCTTTTAATGTTCACTGGTTGTTTTCCTTACATTAGCTATAGTTAATGAATTGAAATGGAACATGCATTTTTACGGGGTAAAAACATTTCTGTTGTAGCTCACTGTAGTGTCTTTCAGAAGCTAAGTGGCTCTTTTGGTTTGGTTTTCTTTTGTCAGGTTTATTATTACTATTATTATTATTATTTTGGTTTTTCGAGACAAGGTTTCTCTGTAGCTTTGGATCCTGTCCTGGAACTAGCTCTTGTAGACCAAGCTGGCCTTGGACTCACAGAGATCTGCCTGCCTCTGCCTCCAGAGTGCTGGGACTAAAGGCGTGCGCCACCACCACCTGGCAGGTTTATTATTATGAAATGCTTATAGTAACAGTCCTCCACATGTACAAGGTAACTGATTTGAGATAATCAAGTTTCACAATAGGGCGTTGACAAAATACTACTTTCTTTTTTGTATTGATTTAGAAACTAGTTTGTGACTTACTATGAGATACCAAGGTATTACTAGTTTTATAATAGATAATCAGAACATTCAAATCTCCCTTTTATATATATATAATCTTTGGAGTTTGGCTTTTAAAGGGGCAATACATAGTTTTTCTTTGTTTGGGTGATGCTAAAGTTCAAACATGAGATCTACTCATGCTGGGCAAACTTTGCTCTCTATCACTGAGCACCCTTCTTCCTGATATTTTCAATGGAATAAGTACATATTTTGGGTATATTTATAAATTCAGTGGTGAGCATTTCTGTAGTGTGAATTTAGAACATTTAGCATACCAAAAATGTGAAACATTTATTTCTACATGACTTTAAAATGTGTACAGTATTCAGGTACTAACCTTTTAAAATTGGACAGTAAGACTTATTTAAAAGGAAGTCATAGGTATGGGTAAACTAAACTTCTTATTTGTAGATTTATTAATTGGACAATAGAATTTGCCTTTTATATGTATAAGCTATTTATATTAACTCTTAAGAAATTTTAATGATCTCTTTTTAGCTCCTTCCAGCTGATAATTGCATTATGGATGAATACAAACGAGAAATTGTGGAAGCTAAACAAATTGTAAGAAAACTCACAATGGTTGTATTGTCTACTGAGAAACTTGATGAACGAGACAAAGAAAAGGACAAGGATGATGAGAAAGTAGAAAAGGTACATCATTTAGTCTTGTAAAATTTGCAGTGTTTAAAATTACTAAATTTAATTTCTCACCATTAATCACCTTATAAAAGTAAAATTTCTTAGTTTTGATTATGTTAAAATATGATTTGGGTAATATTCATTTGGATTTTAATATGAATGGTACCTTTAGAAAAAACTGCTCTTTTTGTTTCTTGTGTAAATTTTAAAAATGTCACAAAATATATTGATTTTATTTTTGCTGTATATATAATATTCTTCAAGTAGTAAGGGGATTCTCAAAGATGAATGAATTCTAGTGAGTGTCTCCTGCATTATAGCATGAAGTCCAAGTTAATTCCAAATTATAATGCCCATGTTTGTGCTAAATGGAAAAATAAAACAAAAAAACAGATTCTATTTTTTCAAGTCAGTAAAAATTCAGGCAGTTGTTAAATTTCCTAGATATTGTAACTTTTTTGATGTGAATTAATTGTGATATTTAGCTGAAGTTGTAAAGAGAAATATCTGTATTCCAAGTATCATTGTTACTCTTGTTCATTTTTAGCCACCTGACAACCAGAAGCTTGGTTTGTTGGAAGCCTTGTTAAAGATCGGGGATTGGCAGCATGCACAGAACATCATGGATCAGATGCCTCCATACTATGCAGCTTCACATAAACTAATAGCTCTAACTATTTGCAAGCTTATTCACATAACTGTTGAGCCTCTATACCGAAGGTATGCAACTCTGTATTAAGTGCTAAGATCTAGTTTGGGATTGCTAAAAAGATATGTGTATTTCTTTTCTCTTTAAATCTGGCATATCTATTACTATATTTTCTCAAAATGGAAGACTATTCACAGGGCATGTCAGCCATTTTTACACAGCTTCTCTCCTAATGTCCCAGTGTTGTAGAATATGTTCTACAATGTTATATGAAAACTTAGGTTAAACTTCTGGAGCTTTTCTACATGTATTGAGAGTGAAAATACCTTTCTTTTATTTTTAAACTTTTCTTCGTGGGAGGGAGAAAATTTTCCCCTTTTTATTAACCTCAGGGAAACATTATTCCGGGGTTAATGACTCTGCATATTAGTATTCTGACACTCAGGCTGCTTTTTGGGAAATTACTAGCGTAATTCCTCTTATTATCCTGAATGTGTCCACTAGCCCTGTAGACGTCAGCCTATTTAGGGAACTTAGGAGCAGTATTAGCAGCAGCTCTGACTTCAGCCTCATAAACAAAGCCTGTTTCAGGCCTCTCAAAAGCCCCAGCCTTCATGACTTGTGCATAGCCACTAGATGCTGCTTTCATTGCGACTTGAGGTGTAGACAGCGCAGACCTCTTCAGAGATCAACTCCTGTGACTTCAAAGTAAGATACCTGCTTAGTATGTGAGAACTCTGAGCATGCTGTCCTTTCTAGTATTGTACTTCGATTGTCCAGTTATCTTGCCTACCACCCCTTCCTCATACTCAGTGTAGGTAGTTGAGCTCAGATTGAGAAATGTTTGATTTCATCTTGGGGCCCTCAGATTTCATCTGAGGGCCATCGTTTCTTCATTCCTATAACTATATTCTCTATGTTGGCCAAGCTTAACTTAAACTCATGTTACATGTTACGTGAGAGCTACATTGAGAATTCCTTATTTAATTTGCTATTTTGAAACATTCTCTTTCTGAGCTTTGTTTTTATGCTTGTTGAATTTGTTTTTATATTAATTTTCACTTGATAATTACTATAATAAAGTTAGTGATGGCTAGAATAGATATACAAGCAAGAAAATTATTATTGTGTTAAGATATTTGGGCTTAATAGTGCATAGATTTCTAAATCTTGCTTCTTTTTTATAGAGTTGGTGTTCCTAAAGGTGCTAAAGGCTCACCTGTTAGTGCTTTGCAAAACAAGTTAGCACCAAAACAAGTGGAGAGCTTTGACGATTTGAGGAGGGATGTATTCAACATGTTCTGTTACCTTGGTCCTCACCTATCTCACGATCCCATTTTATTTGCAAAAGTCGTGCGCATAGGCAAGTCATTTATGAAAGAGGTCAGTAAGATTTTTCTTCCTAGTAGAAAATTAAAATTTGAAATGAATATATTTGTTTTGATGAGTATTTCTAAAAGCAGAAACAAAGTAAACATGATGTAAGGAAAGTTGTGTTGAGTAAATTAGCTCAGTTTATGGAAAGTCCATGATGGTTCATCAGATACCTCCCTTAGGAAAATCCATATTTTGAATTCTGTTGTAACTAGCACTTTCTTACTAGTTTTTACCCTTATCTGTCTTCTGTTTATTTTCTAGCATGCGGTTTTGAATCATGACTATTAGCTGTTTGTAATTTTTCCAACCACAAAGTCCTGGGCTTATTATTTCTAGTTTTTACTTATTTTCGGTGATAGGATTCAACTTGGTGTTTTGTGTGTTCTGAGTATGTGCTCTACTGTGGAGCTGTGTTCCCAGCTCATCATATTTCTTTTTAAGTAAAGCTTTTATTGAAATAAATTATACATATAGAAAAATGAGTAAATTGTGATTATATAGTTCAGTGACCTTTCTAAAACTAAACACCCATGTGTCTACCACTTAAACCAAGAAATTGAATAGTACCAGCAATGCCCCTACCTCATTTATAAACTTAGACTATTTAAAAAACATTTACGACATAGAATGTGCATATCACATGCATCTCCAGTCTTAAATTACCTTTTCTTACCTTACTTAAGTCAGTTTCCCCTATGTGTTGCTGGTTTCTGTCATTGTAGTTTTGCTTTTTCTGTGATCTTATGTAAATAATTAATGTTTTCTGATTTTTTTTCACTTAATGTTTTGAGATTCATGATTCAAGTTATTACATGTGTCAATAGTCCTTTTGATGAGTAATAACATTTCATTATATGTAAACATGTAGTTACTGATAAATTTACCAAGTGATGGATATTTAAGTTATTTTTGGTTGGGCTGTTATAAAGGTGCATTAAATATCTATACTTTTGGGGGACATATTTTTGCATTACCAGAAGTAGGATTTGTTAGTGAAATAAATAAGTATATGGTGAACTGTAAGAAATTACAAAAATGCTGGATGTGATAGTGCACACATTTTTTTTAAGATTCATTTATTATGTATACAATGTTCTGCCTGCATGTATGCCTGAAGGCCAAAAGAAGGTACCAGATCTCTTTATAGGAAGTTGTGAGTCACCATGTGGTTGCTGAGAATTGGTCTCAGGACCTCTGGATGAGCAGCCAGTGAGTGCCCTTAACCTCTGAGCCATCTCTCCAGCCCTCCTGTGGTGCACACTTTTAATCCCAGAACTCAGGAGACAGATGCAGGCAGATCTCTATAAAATTTTCAGGACATCCAGGTTTACATAGCAAGCTCTGGCTATATAGTAAAAGCCTTTCTTAAAGCAAAGAAGAAATTATGAAAACTGACAATGTCTATAGTATTTTACATTTCTGAGAGCAATCTTTGAGACTTCCAGATGCTCCATAGCCTCACTGACACATGGTATTTTAATACTTAAATTTTATCCATCCTAGTAAGTTGTGGTATCTTATTGTGGTTCCAGTTTCTGTCATACTAGTGACTAATGTTGAGTATCTTTTAATGTACTTATTTGCTACTTATAATTATTTTTAGTGAAGTGTCTGTTCATGTTTTCTCCATTTTATATCACAGTCTTTTTGTTACTGAGTTCTCGTCTTTGTATATTGTTGGATTTTATCAAATAGGTGGTTTTTGAATTCTTTTCAGTATGGTTTGCCTTCCCACTTTTAACTGTTTAAAAAAATTAAAGCGTATATGTGTGGGAGTGGCAGGGGTTTGTGCCAGTGGGTGCAGGTGCCAGGGGAAGCCAGAAGAGGATGTGGGATCTCTTGGAACTGTAGTTAGAGGTGGTTGTGAACCAAACTCTGTTTCTCTGGAAGAGTAGAGACTTCTTTTCACCATGGAACTATCTCTCCAGCCCTTCGAAACTCTTTCTGTAGAGCTATGCCTCCGAAATTAAGAGTCCAACCTTAGTTCAATTCCTGGCATCTGCTTTTGGGTGGCTCACAACCACCTCTAACTCCAGCTCCCCGAGATCCGATGACTCTGGCTTCCACAGGTACATGTACATACCTACACACAGACTCATAGACATATATACATGTAGACAACTATGGATAATATGCAAACACCATTTTAAAAAGGAAAAATGGTATCTTATTAATTTCAGGTTAGTATGTTTTTCTCTTAAAATTTCCTGGGTTTGGTGTGCTCAATCTGTTTATTTATTTTTGCAACCTATATAAGACATTCTCAGAGTGTTGACCAGACTATAGCATGCATCATAATTACCTGTCAGGCTTACTAAAATGCAGATTGTTGGTCCTAAACTTCAGTATTTGGTCAATAGGCCTGGGTGGAAGATGAAAATTTGCATTTCTAACATGTTTCCTGGTGATACTGATGCTTCTGGTTCAAAGATCAAATTGTTACTTTAGTATATCAAGCAGATTTGATTGTACATTGTGGGCTTAAAAGGGGGTGGCAGTGACTAATAATCTAAAAATCTGATCAGAAATCACTACTATTCTCTCTGCTCTAACATCCTGGGCATTTTTCTCCTTGACATAACTGGGAGATGACAAAAAATGAACAGAGCAACTTACAATTTTGCCATGCTTTCAAGAAAACTCCCTTCATATCAGACTTCTTGACTACAAGAATGCTGAGATTCCCAAAGAATACATGGCATTCTACATAGTGGGAATTGTTTTGTGTTGTTTGTAACATGTCTTGCCATTGCCATTTATGATAAGGCTCCTCACAAAGCCAAAAAATGTTGCTAAGATAAAAACTCTCACAAGAGTAGGAAGAGAGAAAAAAAGAGGCTCCATTGTGAATCTCCTACTCCCAGGCACTGGGTGGAGGCGCTGACTGCTGCAGGAGACCTACAACATACATAACCACATAAGAGTCTTGTCTCTTTCCAGACTGCAAGGACAGAAAATAGTTGTAGTTAGATTTTGTGTGTGAACCAGTCAGAGGAGTTTCTATTTTATATAGAAGCCAATTTTTATTTTATTTTTTATTAACACACAAAGAAGTCGGTTTTATTATAGCATTTTCAGACTTTTTTTTTGCTTTTTTCTTTTATTGAAATTATTTTTTTTATCATGTAGTATGTCCTGATCACAGTTCTCTTCCCTCTAATCTTCTCATTTCTTCCCAACTCCCCTGCCATCCAGTTCCACTCCCTTTCTTTTATTAGAAAACAGGCTTCTAAGGGATACTAATACAATAGAATAAAATATAGTAAGATATGACAAAAACTAACACATAGGAATTGGACAGAACAAACAGAAGGAAAAGAGTCCAAGAGAAGGCACAGGAAACATAGACCCACTCATTTGGACATTCATGAATCCTATAAAAACACTGAACTGGAAGCTATACTATATATACAAAGGGCCTGTTGATTTAGAAGGCCTTGCTCCCTGGTGTCCTGCATTACCTCTGGCTCTTATATTCTTTCTGCCTCCTCTTCTGTCGCACTCCTTGAGCCAGGCATTGGGTGGGCTGAGGAGGTGGGTATTTAATGGATACATCCTATTTAGGGCATAGTGTTCCAAGTTCTATCATTCTTTGTAATGTCTGATTGTGTCTCTCTGAATTTGTTTCCATATGCTGCAGGAGGAACTGTCTCTGATGGTTGAGCAAGGCACTGGTCAGGGAATATAGTAGAATGTCATTAGGAGTCATTTTATTATTTTTTTAAAGACCAGCAATTTTTGGTTTTGCCCTAGGTCCCTGGGGTATCTAGTCTCAGGTTCTTGGCCCCCCAAGCAGTTTCGGTTATGGGTTCCATCTCACAGAGTGGACCTTAAGTCAAATCAGATATTAGTTATTTACTCCCCCAAGCGTTGTGCCATTGTTGCCTTAGCGTATTTTGTAGGCAGGACAGCATTGCAAATCAAGACTTTCTGGCTAGGATGGTGTTTATTTTTTTCTCTTTTGGTAGTGTGCAGAATATCTTCCTATACTAAAGGAAGTGGAATATAGCGGTGAAGGCTCTGTATAGACACCAGCTTGACTATTCATGTTCAGTGAGATCTGTAGGTTTTGTCTTCAGTAATGAGGCCTTACCATCAGTTTTTGTAAAGCAATAAAACCCGGGTTGTTTGGGAATTCCCATGGGATTCCTTTTGCCAACAACTCAATTATATGTAACTCAATCCCAATCCTGGAAGCTTCATTTGGTGACAAGAGTTGGCCAGCTGGACCTTTGTCACCCCTAGTATTTGACAGTTTCATTTAGATCACTTTCATATATGTATATATTTTAGGAAACTTCTACTATAGTGGGTTTCCCTACTACCCTTCAAATTTTCACTAATTTTAGCTATCTCTCCCCATATTTTCTCTCTCATTTGCCCTCCTTTCTAATCCTCCTATTTCTCGTTTCCTGCATGTTCACTCATAACTATTCTATTTTTGTTTCCTAATGAGATCTATCTGTCTATAGTTCCTTACTCTATATTTACCCTCTGTGGTTATATGGATTGTAGCTTGGTTATCATTGACTTAACAGCTAATAGCCAGATATAAGCAAATACATACCATATTTGTCATTCTGGATATGGGATACCTCACTCAGGATGATTTTTTTCTAGTTCCATCCTTTTACCTGCAAAATTAATTATTTCATGTTTTTATCAGCTGAGAAATACTCCATTGTGTAAATGTACCACTTGTTCTTTATTTATTCATCTGTTGAAGGACATCTAGGTTCTTTCTGTTTTCTGACTGTTATGAATAGAGCAGCAATGAAGATGGTTGAGCAGCTGTTTCTGTGGTAGGATGAAGCGTCCTTTGCATATATGCCTAAGGCTGGTAGAACTGGACCTTGCAGTACATCAACTTCCATCTTCCTGTTGTCCCCCTTGTTCTTTGCTTCTTTTTTTGATTTTCTGAGAAGCAAACTTTTACTGCATTTATTTTATGTGCATGTATGTATGTATGTATGTATGTATGTATACATGTATACCACAGCACTGTG